TAGGGTTAGAATTGATAATTAACAAGTATATGTGGATTTTAGCAGGGCTTGTATTTTTAAATCAAGATCCCAAATTTTAGCTTCAGCCGTTTTCAGCATCAGCTGCGACAATTATTATTACGTATTTTATCATAAAATACGTAATAATAATTATTGTCAGTGAAATAACTGTTCAGTGAAATGACTGTTGGTCAAATGACTGTCAGTGAAATGATTTTGTAGGTAAAAGGATTGTTGGTAAATTAGGATGTCAGAAAAATGACCTTTCAGTAAAGGGATTGTCGGCGAATTAATATGTCAGGAGAATGATTGTCAGTGAAATGGCCCCAACCCCTATAATCATACTCCTATATCATTTTTTTTATTTTTTTTATTATAAATATATTTTTTTATTTGTATGTTATATTATTGTTCTAGCAACAAATTATATTAAATAAAGATGAGATCCACTGGACTCTATTTATTTTTATTTTTATGTAATTTTTGCAATGTAATTATTAATTAGTAGAAATAATAGAGTTTTTTTATTAACTTATGCTTTTACAGTCACAATTTGGATTGAATTCTGTTATTTATTCCTCCAACATTTAAGACAATATATTTTTGTATTGACATAATCACCACTCTTCCACTCACCTTTTACATCATCTCTTTTATACTCTTTAATACATTATATAACAAGTTTTTAGATAATTAAAATAGTCATCATACTCATACTATATTTCAAAGTTAAATAAGAAAACTGCTCCAATACCATTTTGATAATATGATTTTGTTTTTTTCTAGATCAGTGATATGACAGAAATTGGAAGTGGGTTTATTGAATATATTTTCTTTGGATATAGATGGTGTACTTACCTCAGTTTTAAGTAAATCCTTTTGAGTTGAGATGTAGATGATGCAATTATCTTAGTTTTTAATAAAGTATTGAAGAATTGTCAGAGGTAGTCACAGAGTGGTTAGAAGAAATAAAGATTGCAGTTAATTCAGTTACTTCAGATAAGATTTACTGGAACCACCGATCTTAGAATTTTAGCAACCTCAGATGAAATTTGATATTTTGCATTATCTGTATTGATGTTCTGATAAGAATAATTTATAATCTTTTAGATTTGATTATTAGTAAGTTTTGAAATGAAATTTGCACTATATGATTTAATGTATTTGATTTTATCTAAGCCTATTTTTTTGAATAATATGTAAATTTTCTCAACTTTTTGAGTTTTTTTGTGCAAGGCATCTTGTAATATTTCTGAAAGATGTAAGCCAAATCTTAAGATCTTTTCTTATAGAGAATAGAAAGCTGTTTTGTAATTAAATTATAAAATAAGCTTCTTACCTTCTTTTTACTAATTTTATCACCACTATTTTTTATAAACTCATTAAACTGAACTCTGAAATTCTTTTTATAAATAGGCCAATATAAGATTTCTTCTTGGTTAGCTCTATTTGTGCCATCTTTAGTATTGAAAGCTTTATTGCATAACTGTTAACTGTGCTAGATGTTGCAATGCTTTGTTAGTACTAAATTTTTCAGAACCACCGATTTTATAAATTTTAGTTGTATAATTTTGAGTTATTATTATTGAGTTTTGACTTGAAGCTTCACTTCTTCTCGTGATGATTCTGAAGTAAACAATTCTTGAATCAACCTCTGTTTATCTTTTATATTTAAAAGAGATTTAGTATTCTGGAAAGTTATAATTTTTTTTTGATCTCAAAGCTTCTTCTCCTTAATATTTTGAATTATCTCTTTGAATTTACAAAATCATCAACTGCTTTATACTCTAATGATTTATGTTTGTTTATAAGTAATGCAGAGTATCTTGATATTGTTATCCTATATCTACTTCTCTAAAGATAATAGGTAACTAGAGCGACTGTAGCTATTAAATACTTTGTGTAATCTAAACTAGTTACTGTATTTTGGCTAAGTTGGTATAGCATTTTTACAAAACTTAATAAAGAAGATTTAAGGCAATTTGC